GGAGCGGGGTGAGAGGGTGCAAGAGGCGGCCGGACGGTGCGAGCAGCGAGCAGCGCGCCGCACGAAACACGATCGACGCGGCGGTGGCCGGCCCGACGCCACAATAGAGGGACAGCAGGCCGCCGACCGAGGCGCTCCCGGCCTTGGCTGCGCCGCCCGACTGCAGCCTCACCTTGATTGTGTCAAACGGATGCGAGATGGCCGCGGCGGCGAAGCCGTACCCGGCGCCTCCGACGAGGCCGGGGAGCAGCGGCCCAACCACGGTGTCGTGCGGCTGGGCGTCCTGGGCGGCATCCGCGGGCTGGAGGAGGAAGAGAGGGAGCAGGAGCGGGCGGCGGCCTGGAGCGGGAGAGCATTATGCGAGGAGCGACCAGGAAAAGAATTCAAAAGAAAATCGCACAATCATGGGCAGAGCGTGCAAAGCGGCTAGGGATGAGGCCGCAAAAGAGGAGCGCGAGGCAAGGAGGAGAATCGGAGAACTGCGAGACTGGGATGACTGGAAACAAGAAGACAGTGAGCCACCACAGGCGTCGTTGGCGCACATACTGAGCGGCAACTGCGCTGGCTGGGAACAAGGAAGAGGCGCGCCTCTTTATGCGGAAGCTTGACAAACACACGGCGAGGGCGACAGCAATAGTCGAACGGGCGGCGCCGGACTCAAAAGACACCGCTACATTCCTGAGACGCGCGAGGGCAGCCTCCTTAAAGGCAATAGGGTCTAGATTTGGACGGCTCGCCGAAGAGGAGTACGACAAAATAGCGCCCGTGATTGCCTGCACGCTACCCGCACTCACGGACTCCATACCCGAAAGAAAGAGAGGGGAGCTCGCGGGAGAGGTGACGAGTGAACTACAGGTAGTGGGGAAGGCAGCCTCGATTGCCATACAGACATGGGTGCGAAACAACGACAAGACCAAGGCACGGGCAGAGGAACGAGAGAAGAATATAGGGTGGATAAAGCGCCTGTTCACGGCATGGAGGGTGAGCCACACCGAACGTACCAAACGTAGAGCCGAGCGGAAGGAAGCCGGAGAAGTCGACGAGCCCGATGACGGGCGAAGAGCTTGGCAACACAGGCCTCTTCCCCAACCACATCCTGCGCCGGATGATCCGAGAGTGGCAGGGGGCGCAGTGAACAGTGTTGCCGGCTGCACAGATCGCCACACTGGTCTCCTCACCTTCTTGGATGCACGTGATCGGAGCGAGATGGAGCGCATGGTTCACTGTGTAGTGTGGCGCGCCTATGCCGTATGCCGTATGTGCCGTTATCGACCGTTCTCCCAGTAGGTAGGTAGGTAGGTAGGTAGAAAGGTGAAGAACAGCCAGGCTCGGACTGGACACCAACGCGGTATGGGTGGACGCTGGACATACGTGCCAAAAAAAGAAAATATCGCGTCGATAGCCTCCACCAGCTGGCCTCCACTACTCCACCGCCCAGGCGCTGAAGCCGCGGGCCGCGAGATGAAGGGGAAGACTCGAGCTGTGCCGCTCGCAACGCTCATCGCAGACGCTGTCGCGTCAAACCGCTTCTTCTACTCGTTCGAGTACAGCGCCGCGCGCGACCCGCGGCCAGAGGATCTGCTCCGGCGCGTGGCAAGGATGGGCGATGACCTCCGTCCGCTCTGGATCGATTTGACCTGGGGCTTCGGCGACGTCGGTGCCAGGACGGTTGCCGCTGCGCGTCACATCCAAAAAGCAACGGGGCTGCCCGTCCTGATGCACCTCATCTGCACCGATATGACGGTTGCAGACCTCGACGCCGCGCTAGACGCCGCGCTCCTCGCCGGCGTCCGCGCCATCCTCGTGATGCGCGGCTACACGCAGGCGGGTTGCGCGCCCTGATGGCTAACACCACATGCCTGCCTAGAGTTCCTTCACCCCAGTCGCAGGCGGGCTATGACTGCTGGCAGCCGTGCGCCGGCGGGCTGCAGCACGCCGACGACCTCGTGCGCCACATCCGGCGGCGCCACGGGGCGCACTTCAGC